GGTGAAGGTTACCATGTTGTCCTGAAAACATTTGGAATCCTTCGATGGTGGAGAAAATCTTTGCTTTTAAAACACCTAAAAAGAAACAAAAATAATAATGGTGTTAATATAGTGAATAAAATATACTTCAGGTAACATATTTTGTCCAAAGTCTTGGAACAAGTCCAAATAAACATAGAAAAGAAAAACAGAGAAAAAGTAAAAATATAAAAAAATTGTTCTTAATTATATTCTTTATAGTTATATTTACTTAAAAATACATTTTCACATCATTTACAGATATTTTAATATTTACATTCTAATAGATTCAGATATGATTGCAGAAAGTATTAAAGCCAAAGGTAATAAGATATCTGAATAAGGAAAGGCTTACATTATTGTTGCTAAAACTATTTTGTTAAAGAGAATAAATTAAATTCAATAATTTCATAAAATTTGTATTGAATTTAAGCACAATAAGCACTACTTTCACAATCTCGGCAAGAATAATGATAATACTAAGATTTCTCAGAGAGATATAAATTACATTAATAATTTAAATTTATATTCATATACAGATGTCTTTATCTGTTTAAGAATGCAATTTAAAAATACAATAAATATTATCTAATAATACTTAACTGAGTATATCAAAAATTCATAAATATTATATTAAGTAATACAAAAATAAAGAAATATATCATTTAACCATTTTGCTACGACAGTGTTTTCCGCAGAAGGAGTGGCACCGCTGTACGGAACAGCAAGCCGCCAAGGAGCTAAACTGGATATACCAGACATAAAAACATATTTTAAGATTTTTTAATAATTATCAATAAAAATATCTTTATCAATTAAAAATTACACTTCTGAGGAACTAAAAATTACAATAAATTAGAAAAAATTCTTAAAAATTTTGAAGCAAAGGTCGACTGGACATCAGATGAATATCGTCTGTAGGTCGTCATACTGATGTCGTCTATAGATCACGCTCATAGGGAAAAGGTTAAATACAGTCGATGAAAATGACACTTCTGAAGAACTAAAAATTACAATAAATTAGAATTCTTAAAAATTTTGAAGCAGAGGTCGACACACTAGACATCACTTGAATGTCGTCTGTAGGTCGTCATACTGATGTCGTCTATAGATCACGATCGTAGCGAAAAGGTTAAATACTGTCGATGGAAATGACAATAAATATTCGAAATTATGTTCAATTTACCCTAAAACATTTAATGTAGTTTAAGTTCTAATACTGATTTATTCAAATCTTACAATCAATGACATTAAAAATAATACATGATGTTTCAAGGATTTAAACAATAGAAAGTAAAGTAATAAAATACTTTGGTTTTTAAAAAGTTTCAAATAAATTATCACTCGTTATTTCATAAAAACTTATAAATAAATTCCTATTTCATAAAATATACACTAATGAATAATTTATGACTAATAATACAAAATCAAACTTTTAACGTTAGTCAAACAAATACTATTGAGACCTTAGTTGTACTATATAAATTACAAATCAGGAAACCTGGTATTCCAGGGCATTTTATCCTGCGCATTCTGCGTTGCATCTTTCCCTTCGGCTGATCCCTTATTTGATTCATCCTGGTCCAGATCATCGATCTGTCTATAAAAACCAGCGCCACCTTGGCTATATATATGTTTTAGCTGCTGCGTCAGCTGCTTCTGCTGAGCTGCCAAATTTGGTATAACTTCTGGACGTTTAGCTGCGTACATCGCAGAAGCCAAGGCGTTCACCATCAGACTATGCTGCTCAGCATAATTGATCCTGGACGTAATACCAGGAGGACCAGGACTCGGATCTGATCTGGAAGAAGATGCTGGAGATGGTGCACTGTCGGAGTCTGCATGTGATGGTGGGCCTGTTGAATCTCTGTGCCGCTTCTTTTCTTTCATTCTACGATTTTGGAACCAAACTTCGACTTGTCGTTCGACAAGACCTATACTTTTCGCCAAATCTTCTCTTCGCTGTCTATCTAGATAATGATTTACTTTGAACTCTTTCTCGAGCTGCATTATTTGGAGACTGTTATAGGCTGTCCGTTGTCGACGGGGCATCTTCATACTCATCGCTAATCGAATAGGATCTGCAAGTAATTAAATAGACAAAAAATATTAATAAAAATAACTAAATGAGAATGAAAGGATTCTAGTTTACTGTATCTAAGTAACAAAACTACTCCAAAAATAGTCTATGTAAAAAAATAAACGCGACGACATTGGAAACCAACTACTTATTATGAAATATGACAATCCGTACGTCATTATCATTTCACGAAATCCCATGTCATGATTTATGGACCGATTCTGTCCCATAACAGACAAATGTTATGGCAAGGCTATGTTGTGAAAAACTTTCCATACTAAATATTGACAAAAGCCATGTGGTTGTTGTACAGCCAAACGTTTTTCTCAGGTTATCAGATAGAAAACCTAACCTAGAAACCGCACAAATGTCAAAAAAAACGATCTTAGATAACAGGGTATTTCTGACCCAGCTTCATAACATACGAGTGACGTTGCAGTTTATGTGTGAACAGCAAATACATGAAATTTTGACAGTATTCAGTATGATTCAGTGGCATAATGTATTGAAGTTGAAGCGTAACATGGCTTTGCCATAACATTAGATTGTTATGCGGCAGAATCGGCCCATTAGTCACCTTGTGGTATCTAGAACAGAGAAAATCATATTTAAAATATTTAGAATAAAATGTGCTGACCTCACCTTAATCAAAAATTGACAACTGAAATACAATGTTATACCTACATTTGGAAATAAAATAGTAATAGTAATAACAGGCCAGGGACGAAAACAGTACTATTGAGTTTGTGGTGCTCTCACATCATAAACCTGTCTTCGAAATAATCGATATTTCGAAATAATATTTTAGAAATCATCAGTTATTATTCTACATCAATATAGTATGCAATATTAAATATATACCTTCAATAACATTGATCTATCGTATTCCATTAAATAAATATTAAAATGCAATTTATATTTTATGAACATTTATTACATCAATAAACATATTTTTTTTTAACTATAAAAGTTATGTTTTCTTTGCCAGTGCAGACGCAAACTGTTGCTCATTCTTGTGGCATATGGACACCAACCGCAATATAAATATTCTGTTTCAGAATTATTTCCTTGGGATAAAATATTAATGCTGTCAGTGTCCGTATGCTCTGTTAATTTTTCTGTAGATTGTTCTGAAGTAAAACCAGCCTTATAAATTCCTGCAAATAGAAAAATAATATAGTTAGTAAAATCCTTAAGGTAATGGTTTTAAAGATGCTGCTGGAAGGTAAATAATTAAGGTTGCAGTATTGAGTAAAATTTGAATAATATGTTTAAGATCTTTATTTTTTTTTATTAAACATGACTAATTCTACAACTGTGAGAGATTGAATATGAAGACAGTAGATAAAAAAAATATAACTTATTATTATAAATTCATACACAAAATTTCATTTTCACCAATTATTTTAAAATTCAAATAAAAACTATATACAATTCTTTATCATCGAAGAAACAAAATTTATCCTTGACTATTTACAAAAACTTATACAATTATGGCAGATAATATGATTACTATGGTTTTGGTAAAGCAGAACGAAGTTTATCCATTTGCGATTCATTGATGTGATGTTGTTTTCGCATATGATCTAATAGAAAATCTTCTTTATTGGCAATAAAACCGCATTTGACACAAGTGTATATGAATTTGATTAATTCTTGGCATTCAAATTGCTTGTGGTGTTCCAAACTTAATTCGTGGACGTATCGTCTGTTGCATCTAAAAAAAATAAATTAAATGTGTTGTAAAATTTAAAAAAAAATCCAAATCACCAATGTAAATGATTCCGAATATGTACTCAAAAAGACTAGGCAACATGTAGACTCTAAGATATATAAAAATAATAATCTCCAAGACTATATTACATTGCCATACTCATCAATTTTACTAGAAGGCAATAAAAGGAGTAGCATGGAAATCTAATCATCTGTAAGAAAATAAATTTAACTATTTCAGATATCTTAGCGTGTATTCTGAGCACATACTCTTTCATTTTCCATAAGTTAATTAAATCATATAGTTTAAATTCAAAATGCAAACCTTTCGCAATGGTAAGGTTTTTCAATTGCTATAGGTTGCAAGAAAGCCATATTCTTTACAGTCGGAATTTTTGTCAACTTTGGCAGCCATGGTCCGAATACGATATTCTTATCTGTAAATAAAAATATAAAATGTTAATGTAAGAATAAAATAGTTTGGAAAGTAAAATACTATAAGGAAGCGTTCTTTAATCACGTCATCCATTTTTTTTAAGAATTTTGGAAATCCCCCCCCCCTTGGTGATACGTGGTGATATTCAAAATCACCTCCATCCCCAAACATCACGTGTATTTTCAGTTATGGAAAAAAAATTTCATTTTTGGAAATGTTTAGGTATTTTTCTGAATTAGGTAAATCTCACGTGATTAATGGACGCCCCCTAAATGAGAACATAATTACATCTGAAGAAAACTATAATTCAGCAATGATTTTTTATTTATTCTTATAAATTCACCAACAGCATTATTAGAGCAACAAAAAATGTTGTTAGATTAATACAATTTTGATGATATAAAAAATTTAATAATCACAGTAACAATTTTATAAAATTTAAAACTTCAATAGTTTTAGAATAATTCCAAGATTTGATGGCATTGCAAATGAATGTAGTTGATGCCTACTGTACTGTATATAACTTAATAATGGTTTCAATTACAAAAAACAAACAAAATATTTTTTTCCAAATCCAATGCATATAAAAATTGCGTTTGAAACTATAGAAATTCTGCTTCTGGAAAAAATATAAAAAAACATTTTTTAAAAAAAAAGACAAATCAGATAGCATTCTACTTGAATTTTGATGGAAGTTGCTTTCGTAGTTCCATATCATGTAACGATAAAATAAAAAAGTATGAATAATTATAATTATTTTTTGTTGTTATTCTTAGAATGATGTCTTTCAATGTGCCTTTTAATATTAGAAATTCTATGAGTCCGGTAACCACAGAATTTGCAACAATGTTTGGGTAATTGGCCACATTCAAATCTCTCATGGGCATATAAACTTCGAGGTTTTCCGAAAGCTTTTCCACACAGGCCGCAAAAAAGTCCTCCAGACATAGTCACAATTTCAGTATACGATCTATCCGGAATTTCATAAATTGTATCTGAAAATATAAACAGAAAATGTTAATATTCCAATTATCTTGAAAAACTAAATTTGAAAAAAATGAAGTAATATTGATATATGTCATATTTTATTGCAATATACATAACACAGTTTTTTAGTTGCTTTCCCTGCAAATCCTTTATTTGTACGGTCTTAAAATTCTATACAAATGCAACAAATACAATATATATTATCATACTTAGCGATTATCTTGAAATAAAACGTAAAATCATATAAATACGTTACATAGATTTTCTCTTTATATTACTTTATATACAAAATGTCAGCCAACTACATGCCTTTATTTAAAATTTTAAATGAATTGAAGCAACAGTATATACAACTTAATATGAAAAATAATATCAGTGCTTTCTTATATAAATATACAATTTTGTTTTAATGCTTGACTAGTCTAATTGTTTAAAATATTTATAAATTGTTTAAAATATTTTCTTTTTGTACAATTTAAAACAAGTAATAAAGAAATAGAGTTACCTATATATATACAAGAGAGAGTTGCATTTTTGTTTCTTATATATTATACATAATTTTGTTTTCATCACGTAAAATACTATTTAGTAATAAAACTGTATATATTATAATCTTATTAATTAAAAGAAAAATTTATTAATAACTGACACATAAATTATTAACTTCCGTAGGATAAGTTATAAAAATCGCAAAACAAAATCGAAAACGAAAAAAGTTTTGCATATCTTTTAGAGATTTCAGAACATTTTGGCATACCTTAAGAAAAATTGATGATGTGTGTATACAATTTTTCGTCCACGATATCGGGAGCACGGATCAACCGATTTGAATAATTCAAAAAATATTCGATTCGTATTTATTGAGTGAATAATTGACTAAATTTTTGGCAGGTACAGCGGTAACGGAGATACGGAGCAAAAGTGCAAAAAAAGCATTTCTTGACAGAACGGCGCATCCGATTAGAGTGATTCAAAACAATAATTGCTTGTGTTGACAGTGTTTGTTTATTATGTTCTTATATGTAAACATAAATAAATATAAGCGATTATATTATATTAAATTTAAAAAATACTACGATAAAATTTACAGCATTTATAATTATTTTAAAATATTTACAACAATTTTTATTACTCACTGATGAGTTTTTATTGATTTATTTCTCAAAACTGTAATCACTGTACAGGCAGTTCCAGTAATTTTCCTAAAAGCACAAAACCATGAACCACTAGATTCGTTCTCATTTCAAAAGTCAATAAGTCTAGATTCCATATATTATAGAAAAAATAATAAGAATATATTTATAAGAAATATATAAAAAATCTAAAAAAAATATAAATAAAAACCAGTAGTGTATGGTATTATTCGTTAAAGAAAATTGATGGATTTTTCTGTTATGTTCGAATATTAGATAATCATTTTTCTGCAAATCAGCATAACGGCATTGCCAAAATCTTAAAAATTATAACAGTTTACCACTTTCTAAAATTAACCAGACTTGATTATTGTCAATTCAAATTGATTGTTCTTTTTATATTATTTAGAATCTTTTAAATACAATCGTCTATTCAAACATATTACACATATACACACACAGATCTATTCTTTTTTGACTAAAGTATGCCAAAAATTCTGAATGTTCTGTAACATAAAAATATAAATAAATTACAAAATGTTTATAAAAATATAAATAGAATACATAATTTTTTATTCTTATATGATTTCGGTGACTTTTCTAGCGTGTTAAGAAAAACAAAATGTGTGATTATCATATATATCAACATCATAATCACATGAGATAAAAATAAAATTTCAAATCCACAAGCCCTGATATTGCTTAAGGCAGCGGTTTCCAACCTGTGGGGCGCTCCCTCACAAGAAGACGCTCTAAGGGGAGCGCGTAGATCTGTTTCTAGAATACTATTTCCGAAAATAAAACAAAATTTCTGAAAGGTTTTAAAAAAATTAAAAAAAAATAATTAGTTCTGAATTTTTTATGCATAACATAATATTTGTAGTAGGAGGCGCTGTGCGAAAAAGGTTGGAAACAACTAGCCTAATGCCTTACCAGGTGCGTCAAATACTATTTCTTCCAAAAAAAAATTAAATCAATTGTCGAAAAGAAAATCGGTGCGTGCCAAGCTGTATGTTACAATAAATCTATGGTACTATAGTTATGAAATTAAAGTTGTGTCGGCCAAGCATTGTACTGCCGAAAATGTTTAGTGACATGTCGTTGCAAATTGAATCCTCTATGAGTTTTGTAAGAACAAATATCGCATTTATATTTAGGCTCTCGTCCGCATTCCATTCGCTCGTGGGCGTAGTGGCTGCTCTTTGTCCTATAGAGTTTCCCACAGTAGCGGCAAGATAATTTCAATTCTCCGGCCGAGGATAAATCTGAAACATAAAATATTGGTTTGGTTAGTAAAAGATTTATGAGTTAGAGAAATCTAGACTAGATGAACATAAACGCTTTTAATGAATTGCAAGGGATAAAAACGAATCAAATCTAGAAAGCATGAAGAAATAAACTGTGAAATGAATCTCCATATATTGTATAACACGCTAATTGAAAAAGTTGAGATTTTTCGAAAAAACTTTTTTTTATTTAAATAAATGTTTATAATTAATGTTTAATCTGTAATTAATTAATTGATTCAATTCATACATACATTAATACAATAATTGAAACCTATAAATAAACCTAATGTATTATTCAAACAAAAATACCAAAAAATATTGAAAAGAGTGAAGACGTTTCCAAACAGTGTGTAGTTTGTTTTGATGTTGATTGTTTTAATTAGAAAATATTTAGTCATTAAGTTCCTAAAGAAGTAGACAATTCAAATCCCCGAAACGTAAAATGAAATAATTTAATTTACTTAAATTGATTAATTTAAATTAAATATGTATTTTTTTTTTAAAAAAAGTGTTGTTTTTTAGTTCACATTTAAAAATCTTATATAAATAAATCCTCACTTATGACCAACTTATGTTGCAACAACCTCGTTCAGTGTTGCAACAACCTATTCGAAGGTGATCGGAAACACGTTGTATTTTATAGGTGTAAAGACTATATAAAGTTAAATAAATACATTCACACATATACACAAACACACCTACACTTATACATATATCTATATATTTAAAGATCACAGTTTTTTTGTCAATGGTTATAGAAATGAGTGATAGTGTCAAATACCAAATTAATCAAATAGGTTATTGTTGAAAAATGTACCATTGTTTGAAATGCATATATGTATTATAATATAAATAGAATAATTACAAAACACGTTTCTTTCTCTTATATTTTATTTCAACAATTCATAATACAGTCTATATAAAGTTACGCCTTGAAGTCTTTAGTTGAACAATAAATCTTAACACTATAATAGAAGAAAATAAAAAAATATTGCGTTTGCAACATCAACTAACAAATTTAATAACAGTCATACAATTAATAGCAAATCATATTAAGTACCTTACAAAATAAAATCTAACATATTCTATACTCCTCCATCGTATTTTTTTCAAGTCTCAATCATTTTTATTAAAAATATTTTACTAAATACTACGGTAAAGAAGACATGTCCGCATATGTCTCTCCAAATTGCACTTATGATGCGATTCGTAGCTGCAATTATGGCATTTAAATTGCGGCAATTTGCCGCATTCGTATTTCTTATGTACATAACGCCCAGTTCTGCTGCGGTAGACTTTGTTACAAGTGTCACAAGGATAAATTTGGTTTCTTTCTTCTTGTCCGGAACTTGGTTTAGATACCATCCTGTATAGAGATGGATCCAGGAAATAACCTGATAAAAAATTGTTGATAATCAGATTGTAAATATAAACTTAAAACTTAAAATTGTGTAGTATAAGAAACAACATAGTATATGGAATAAATGATATACAAAAAATCGAGATTTCTTTTTTTTTTATTTGTCAACAGCAATCTCAACTACTAAGAACTCCTTATTCTATGAGCAGTTTGTTGAAGACATAAACTAATGTCCCACAAGAGCCAACCCATCTATTATGCTTTTTTGGCAATTATATTAGATATATATCTGATAATTATTGTGTGTTGTAGCAATGCCTCCGAAAGGATATTTTCACTTGGCGTCATACTGCTTGATACCGAGCTGGCTAGAATTAAATCAAATCGGAGACTAGGGCAACTAGGAGACTAGGAGGATTTGTTAGTCCACAATCAGTACTTCTACTCCTCAAAAAATCTTGAATAAAATTGACAAAAAATTAAAAATTGTAAAAGAGCATAGAACAATTTATACATGTATAACAAACAAAAGCGTTACAGAAAAGAAATGTATTTTAAATCAATTTTTCTTATTATAAAATTTTCATAATTGCTAAAACCTAAAAACGTAATTTACAATAAATAAATATAAATTATTAAATGATACTTGAACAAACCAAATTTTAGTTCAATCTATAATAATTTACAGCTCATTTGAGTTTTTTACATTTTAGTAACAAATATGATTTGATAATTTGTTAGTATGACACCTAAAATATTTGTGTTATTACAAAAAGCAAAAGAGCATTTTTATTCTAAATATTTTCTGTTTTTTTGTCAAATCAACTTTGTCTGATTATTATAAATATGACATAATAGTTATAATTAAAAAATACATAATTCGTTCATAAGAAAGGAAGCAAGATTCAAATTTACATATAAAATTTTTTGTACATATAAAATTTTGTAATAAATTTCATTTATTATTTTGACTTGAATTTTTTTCCTAATTTAATAGCATAATAGCAATCAATAAGTACAAAATTCTCTACAAATTTCTTATCACATATTACTTGGCCACTATAAAAAGTGAATAATAATAATCATTATTCATTTAATATTGATTATTCTGGGTAGGATAACTACAATTGCTATCTTGGTGTCTTCTTGAATAATGTGCTTTTAAATTAAACAAATAATAAGTTTTAAAAGGACAAAGTGTGCAACGAAAATTTGGCTCCCTTCCGCATTCATATCTTTCATGTTTGTAAACACCATTATGGCTCTCGTATGGTTTCTTGCAATTTTTGCAAAAATATTTTTTTGGTTTCAGCTGCACTGGATCGATCCATTCGCCATAAACTGAAACATAAAAAATAATAAAGATGTTAATAACATGAATATCTAGGAATCAAATAAAAAGGAAAATTGCAATCACTTTATTTGTAAATTTATTAAACATTTTATATGAAATATTTTTGTTTCCACCTTTGGCTCATTTGAAGTAGACCTACAATATAATTCAAAAAAGTTAATAAATTTAATAATTTTAAAATCATGCAAATTTTCAATAAAATCTAACTATTTTGCAAGGAAAATAAACCATTTTTAATGTATGTATAGTTTACAATATATTATGAAAAATAAATCACAATTTTGACACACTTTTTTCGATTCCAAATAATTTTTAATTATTCCATTTAATCAATAAATAAACTAACATATATAATCACAATGATATAGTCTTAAATTATATTCATCATTCACTGATTAAAAATAATAAGAAATAATGACTTAATATTAAGTTTATGACTTAAAATTGATTATTATCCTCTAAATATGTACTTTTCTTATCAATAATAGTTTTATATTTGAGATCATATTTATAATTAGCTTATTTTATATATAAGCAGTATTCGATATCAAATGTGCATTAATGCTAACAGTATCAAAATACATTTTCAGTACATGAATCAAGGAAAAAAACAATTTTTCCTCGACAATTATTTTTCTATTTTAATATTAAATATGATTTACAAGTTCAGGAACATTGCGAGACTCTCTACTCATCTTAAATTTAATTTTGGAATTCCATTTATTTATAATTATTATAATTATGTAATATATACATATTGAATGATTATTATTAGTTATAAGGTAAATAAAATATAGCTACGACTAAGGTGTATTTGCACATATTGTTTCGGAAAATTTATAATTTCTTTAAAGAAAAGATAAATATTATTAAGAAAAAAAATTATAATAATAATTTAGGGATTATTTTGTGATTTTTTCATAACCCTAATATTTTACCAAAAATTTGTACTTTTACTAGAGATCTTTTACTGAAAGTTGACTTCATACATTTCTAGCAGGATTAACAAGATTTTTCATTTTAGTTTATTTTAGTCCTTCATAGTTAATTTAAATAAAAACTTGGTTCCTTGCATCAATAAAATGTAAAATATATATAAAAATCATAAAAATTGTCAAAAATTCACATATATATAACTAACTATAAGTGAATCACTATATATGTACATTGGGGTGGTCCTTAATATGGATGTTTTCGATTATCCTTGCTCCCAGCAGCTTCCAAATTGATGAAATAAACTTCTCTGAAAGTTTTAGCTCTTAATATTAACTTTAAGATAGTCCGCACTTTAACCAAAGGTTCTCATGAAAATAATATAGAAAAATTCCAATTGCTGTTTAAAATTTCATTACTTTGCGACATTGGATCAAAATTTTGAGAATAATATTGTATTTGCTTATTTTGATCATGAATAAAAATAATTTACAATGATTTTGATATATTTCAGAGCATAAGTTTCTCATACTCAGGAAGAAGAACCAAGAAGCTTTGGTTGGAGTACTATCTTAGTTAATATTAAAAGCTAACACTTTCAGAGAATCGTTTTTTATCAATTTGAAAGCATTTGAACTCCGAGGAGCAAAAAAAAATCAAAAGCATCCATATTATGGACCAACCTAATGTATATGTATATAAGGGTAATCACATTTTTTATGTCAACATGTGTATAAAATCTTCAAAGCAAATGCGTCAAATATTTTAATTACATCAAAAAAAGTTAACTGCCTTGATGATTTTATACATATGTACACACACACATACATTTATACTTGCAATACATAGAAAGAAGGAGAACGAGTAGCACTAATTGGAAGGATAGTATAGTTAAGAGAGGTTATCATTGTATTCTATATCCTCCCCCCATAAAGGAGAACAAATAGCACTAATTAGGAGGATAGTATAATTAAGAGAGGGAATCATTGAATTCTATATCCTCCCCCATGACAGAAAACGAATAGCACAAATTAGGAGGATAAGGTAGTTAAGAGAGGGATCATTGCATTCTATATCCTCCCCTCAGAAAAAAAAAACAAATAGCACTAATTAAGAGGATAGTATAGTTAAGAGAGAAAATCAGTGCATTCTAGATTCTCACCCCATGAAGGAGATAGCACTAATTAGTGGGCGTCCATTAATCACGTGAGCGAGTTTTTAAGGATTTTGGGACTCCCCTCGCCCTTAGTGATACATGGTGCTATTCAAAATTGCCCCCCCCCCACCAAACATCACGTATAACTTTGGTTACGTGATTAAACTGTAAAATTTTTGAATAGTTTTTGAAAATGTTTGAATTTTTAAAAAAAAATCAGTTAAAAAATAAATACACGTGATATTCGTGATTTTTTGTCAAACCCCCCCTTCTCCTAAAAACCTCACGTGATTAATGGATGCCCCCTTAGGAGGATAGCATAGTTAAGAAAGGGATATATTGCTTTCTATATCCTCCCCCCTAATTAGGAGGATAGTATAGTTAAGAGAGAAAATCATTGCATTGTAGATCCCCCCATGACGGAGAACAAATAGCACTAATTGGGAGAATAGTATGGTTAAGAAAGATAATCATTGCATTCTAGATCCTCCCCCCATGAAGTGATGCGTAACGGCGTTTTCAATGAGGACAAGGTGCAAAAGAAAAGAAAAAGCCTGTAGTCGGTATTTTAGCTCGGCACACCCAGGCCAAACATCTACATTGTCTGGGTCTGGGATACGTAGACGTATGTCCTATAAAAACATACTTATACATAATATTAACAAGAGATTTTTATATCAATTATAAAATTAGCAAAAACCATTCGCCTCACATTCATTTAAACTAAGTCTATGTATTGCCAATTACATAAGTCAAGTTTTCACGAATCAATTACTTTCAGGTTACACAAGTCACTGGATCTTCGTTAATTTGGTGTTTTGTACCGTTAACAAATCATGAGTATTCTTAAAAAATAACATTAAAATAGAGTAATCTTACAAGTGATATTCAATTATTAAAATCACTACTGCCCGAAGAAAATAAATAAAGTTCCGAAACATTTTGACCACTAAAAAGCAGCAAAACATCTAAATCATCCCTCTACTCATCGCTGCCGGGATGCTGCCGAGCCAAATGAGTCTTCAAACTAAACCCATAATGCGTACTATAAGGGCAATAGCGGCAATGAAATCGTCTTTCCATACCGCATTCGTATTTTTCGTGTTTATAAACGCCATTGCGGCTTTCGTACTCTTTGCCGCATCTTCTGCAGGCGAATGGCTTGTTATTGCCGGCGCTTGTGACGGCGGCAACGGCGGCTACTGCTGCAGCATTTGAGGTTGCGTGGAAAGTTGCCGACAGATTGTAGACCATAGCTGCCGCTGGAGACGGGAATAATGGACCCAGGCGGAAATCTGGAAATGGAAAATTTATTATGTTAGTAAGTAAATTATGTTAGTAATTCGAGGTGTAATAAAGACGAAACTCACAATCTACGCGTCCGGTTTTTTTTTTAAGTTCATAATCATGCTTAAGGATGCGATTAGAAATATTTTTACAAATAATTTGGTAAATACGAAATAATGCTGATAATTATTTGAAATTTTAAATATATAACCTTTATTTTTAATTTAACATGCTTTGTAATATTTCTTCACGAATATGTTTACTTAAGTTGATTTCATATCAGTCTTGTGTAAGAAATCACAGTAAATACATTAATTAAGACGTTATATAAGAGGTTTTTATATGCACAAAGAAAATATATTAAGAGTAACATCAATTGATAAATAATAATTAAAATTAATTAACAGTATAGTAACTAAATATTAAAATAAAATCATGTTTCTATAGTCAGTATGTCTAGGCAAGTCATGATAGACAACGTGTTTGTCTTGAAGATTAGACATTCAATCTGTTTTTCAATGTAAATACTATTTAACGTTTATATTAATAGTCAGTTTATGATATTATTAACAGATTATAAATTTCACCAGTGATACCTATTAATTTTCCATATATAAATTCACTATGTAATATATATTAGTACATTTGAGTATGTGGATCTGTCTAATAACAATTTTGAATAATGTTTATTAGTAATATGGTAACACTCGAGATGCACACAATTATTAGTGTCAGCCATCATACATATTTATATATTAATAAATTATATATTTATAATTGCATTAAAAATATTTATAATATTTAAAACAATAATGTAATTAAAGTCATACTTCAAATATGAATTGATCGGTTTGTGACAATTGGTTCGTCATTGTAATTAGCATTTAAGACTTGGACCTTCATTACAGAAATGAAGTCATTGCTGTATAATAAATTATATAATATTTGTTCACAGTGGATTATGTAAAGCCTAAAGAAATATTGTTTTCACAATTTCACTCATCATGTAATAATTCTGTTTCAAACTTCATGTAATTAAAATTAACATACATCCATTGACTAGTTGTATTTTTTTTTACTTTTTCGCTGGCGATATAATCTCATTCTTTGAGCAACTATAAAATCTGTCTTGTCTAAAATATTTTCCATTTTAATAACTTCACAGATTTATAGAAGCTATGAATTATATAGAATTTATTTCAATAAACTTAAGTTTAGTACACGGCACAAATGTTTCATTTATTTCATTGTTTCCATTATAATTATTTACGGAAAACAAGGTAAAATATTCTTCTGATTTAGGATTTTTTATTAAATCAAGGTTTGTACTACGGTGTAACCTTAAAATGTTTATTTATCTATGCCAATTTCTATTCACACGACACGACGGCCATTTCATCAAGGGCGAATAACAGACTTCCGTTGCATTCTCACAGATTTACACCCTAGTCGCGCCTAAAGAAGTTTTACTTCAAAAAATTCACAGAAATTGCCATATCTTGCTTACCAGTATATACTAGACCAAACCTAGAACAAGCAAAATTAATCAAAATAGCAACGTATTTTCATCAATTTTTATTGCATTTTCAAATAATATAGAAGATATAACAAATATGAATAAAATTATATACAGTGTCGTATAAATTACATTTTTAATTAAACATTTAACTTGTATCGTTGGACATGTTACTCAAAAAAATCACATATTTAATAAAAAAAATATTTTAAATGATTTAAATTACATTCACAAATCCTCATTATCTCTGATAGAATCATTATATTATTATGATTCATGTACCAAATTAAATCAATTTTCATATCCCTCATTTTACAGTACTATTTGCTCATGGTGTTTTCTAGCAACATGTCTCTTCAGACAATGCTTGTAAGTCGAAACAAATGGACAAAAAAAACATCTATTATTCGGTTCTATTCCACATTCATATTTTGTGTGCTTGTATTGCCTATTACGACTTTTGAATACTCTGTTGCATTTTTCACAAACAAAACAATGTTCATTTTCTGTGTCTTCTTCCAGAACAGAATTATTTGAGAAGCCATTCAATTGAAATTTTGGATTTATTCGGATCATAATATTGTCCTCTGTTTTGATCCCAGCAGAAGGTCCTGAAAATAGAATTGAAATATTTTTGAATTAGATAAATGAGACATGATTTAAGTTCTGTGTTATTTATTTTAAAATTAAGGCCACGCCTAAGTTAACTGACTTGTTAAAAAATCGAAAAATATAAAAACAATAAAACAATATAAAACTAAAAAAAATTATGAGTTCCAACACATACTGGTGTTACCTGCAAACCTATATAAAACAAGCAATATTAAAACAAAAACGTATTTAAATTCATTTTTAGTGCATTTTAAATTCATATAGAAGATGTAACAAATATAAATAAAAAGTATAAATTACAATTTTTAATTAAACATTTAACTTGTATCGTTGGACATGTTACTTTAAAAAAAAAAACATGTATTTAATACAAACATGTATTTAATATTTTAAATAAAACAAAATATCATTCACAAATTCTCATTAACTCTGGAAAAACCATTATATTATTGTGATTCATGTACCAAATTAAATCAATTTTTATTTCCATCAAAAAAGGGCAGTACTATCTGCCCGTGGTGTTTTCTAGCAACATGTCTCTTCAGACAATATTTGTAAGTCGAAACAAATGGACAAAAAAAACATTTATTATTCGGTTCTATTCCGCATTCATATTTTGTGTGCTGGTATTGCCTATTACGACTTTTGAATATTCTGTTGCATTTTTCACAAACATAACAATGCTCATTTTCTGTGTCTTCTTCCAGAACAGAATTATTCAAGAAGCCATTCAATTGAAATTTTGGATTTATTCGGATAATAATATTGTCCTGTGTTTTGATCCCAGCAGAAAGTCCTGAAAATAGAATTGAAATATTTTTGAATTAGATAAATGACAAATTATTTAAGTTCTGTGTTATTGATATCGAAATCAAGACCACACCTAAGTTAACTGACTTGTTAAAAAATCAAGAAATATAAATATAATAGAACAATATCAAACTAAAAAGTTTTATGAGGTTTTAAGCGATCACAACTTCTCAAACAAAGAATAAAAATTTATGTTAGCAACATGTTTCAAAGCCCTGGAAAAATAAAAACAGTTTTTTTCTTTCTATAACTTTATTCAAATATAACTTAAAGCTAATATAATTTTTTGTAAAAAATTATAACAAATAAAATCTTAGAACACAATAATATAAAACGATGAGTTATTTCAATGAATAAAATGTTGTGAATTAAAATGCTGAACAAATATTCCTATAATTTATTCTGTATTTGATTATTTCATAATACTGGTTTCTACCGCGTGTAAACAAATTCAGTAAAAACTTATTGATAATTTATTTTTATAATTATATATACTTATTTATCATCTATTTCATTATTGTATCTGGTTAAAAATTAGATCGGTTAACTTTTATATATATTTGATTAACAATATTATAATCAGCACTGCTGAATAAATTAATCTCATAAGAAAGTTAAAAAAAGGTCAATTCTGCGGTGAAATAGACGATAACAAAACGTTGTTATGGTAAAGCTCTGTTATCTTTCTTCCTTGGTACCAAAAACTGTGCAAATCAGGCGTTGCCATAACAACGCTATGTTATCGTCTATTTTACCGCAGAATTGGCCTCTCTATCTTATTAAAATATGAGTATCAGTCTAAAAATTTTCGTGGATTTGAGTCAATTGTTCGGCGTGTTTTCGCTGCACATGGCCCTTAAGAGAAGATTTTTGGTGTGCAGCATAAGGGCACATTCCGCATTGAAACTGCGGCAATTTCCCACATTCGTATTTCTGGTGTCTCCATCGATTCTGGTAATATTTGAAATTTTTATTACAATTTGAACAAGGAAACGTCATCGGCTTTGAATTTGAAAAATCAAATTCAAAGTTCATATTCGAAAGCTCAGCTCCAGGTTGTGAACTTGAAGAAAGCATCGATGGATCCGATTGAAACATCGAGCTACGGTTTTTACTAGCGGATTTTGAAAGTCTATACTTGAATTCTGAAATAAAAAATAATGTGATTAGTGAAAAGAATTATCGAAAGCAATAAACCAAGAAAATTTTGTTGAATAGGTTTTATAGCATAGAAAAAGTATTTTTGGATTCGTGATATATATTTTCAGATTTCAGTACAAAAATATATACAACCAGTAACCCAAAACAATCAAGAGCATTAATACTATCAATCAAAAATATAAATATTTCTTATTGCACAATTTTTACCAAAATTTGTAAGTAGTTCATATATTTTGTTAATTCAGAATAAGCAATGCAGCGAAAAACACAATTTCTGAGAAATGTTGTTTCTTATTATAATAATTCTTATTTTGGTCTGAATGTTTATAATATGCTGTCAGATCATAAAAAATAAAATTTCAATGCATATATCCATAAAAATCAAGCACAATATTTTACAAAAGTAAAATTAAGCATTTTGTCACTGCACTACTTTCACATAAGTTGATTCCAAATTGAACCCACATATTTATACAATACTATTTTTGATGGTATTCTAATATTACAAAATTATTTAAATGCAATCGCAAATGTCTTAACCCAAATACAGTGGTACCCCGCCTTACGAGCGACTCGTCCTACGTGTTTTTCGAGATACGAGCCGCCAAAGAAGCGATGCCGCTAGTACCATAAAGCTCTTACAATTAGAGTATTCGAGAACGTGCGAGTGAGATGCCTAACGTAAACTTATGTCGGTGCAAATGAAACAGAATCATCTAATTAACTTTCCGTAGAGTAAGTTATAGTAATCGCAAAAAAATCGAAAATGATAATTTTTATATATCTTTACGTTACAAAGGTTTTTGAACATTTTGGCTTACCTTAGAAAAAATTGATGTATGTGTGTGTGTGTGTGTGTGCGGATCCAAATTTTTGTCGACGATTTCGAGAATACCGATCAACCGATTTGAATAATTCAAAAAAACATTCGATTCGTATTGATAAGGAGACGTGCTGATTAATTGTTGGATAGTTTTTTTTAAACTCAAAAACTAATATTATAATAATTAAGTCATTTTTTATTTAGACATTTTCTATTTTTTTTTCAGAATATGTATTTGATCTTAGCAACGAATGTCTCAGTTATTTTTATTATTAATAAAAATACTGTGCTAGAACAAATTAATATCATTTCTATGTATTCATACAAAATAAATTTCTTCGAGATACGAACTATTCGATATGCAAACGTGCTTACGGGCCGAATTAAGCTCGTAAGGCGAGGTACCACTGTACATATGTCTTATATAATACAAATCAACTTAAATCAATTTATTGACTATCCAATTAGTTTTTATATATTTATATACTTAATGTTATGTATTTTCAAAATACTGTAAATGGAATGTAAAAAATATATAATAAATATTTACAACCTATTATCACCAGAATCATAATATCAATAATGTGATTTTATTTTGTAACTAATACCTAAAATATAAGAATAATATTAAAAAAATATAGAAAAATTAATGAATATAAACGAAATCTTATTGATCTAATATAATTACTAGAAATTTTACAATGATACTAATACCCACTTATAATAAATTAATATATACATTGATAAATGTCTTATTTTTTGCATCACAGAATGTTTATGTATCCGGTTTGTTTGCCAAATATTAGAATTTGTTTCCTCTAGTTTGGAAATAAATACTAGTACTAATAAATTTACAGCGATAAAATACACTATAAGTACTATTCACACTATTCACAGTGTTTTATATTTGAGAAAACTGGTTGCACCTCTAAATTTTAATCATTTAATAGAGGAAACAGGAAACAGAAATGCTCACATAATCTATTAAAAAGTTACATCACATAACAAATAACTTTTATTATTTGCCAAAAATAATGTATGGTTTTTACAAATTAAATTATTAAAAAAACTAACGTCGAGTTAATTACCAATTAGACATATACTGCAGTACTGCAGTACTTTGCAAAAAAGTACAATCACAATTTACTAAATACTATTTGCAATATTTATTACGTATATTATATACTATACATAATAAACTAAATAGCTAATATAATCAATAATAAGTTTATTATAATGATTATTTCGTTGTATAATACATACAATATCTTACAAAGTCATATTTTCAGGAGCAAGGTCGCTTCTTGCACTTTTCTGAATTGAGGCAGTTAAGTTTGATATTAGAAGAACAATGTTTAGTTTTTGAACAATTTAATACAATGTCTTGGTTTTGTCCATATTTTAAAAATCGTTTAACCCTTTCGCTACGGCAATATTTTCTGCAGAACGAATACTGCTATACGGGCCAGAGAGCCGCCCAGTAGCTCTACTGGACGGACCAAGTACAACAACTTATTTTAAGATTTTGTTTTAAATAAAAAAAATTACACTTCTGAAGAGCAAAAAAATACAATAGCAAATTGTAGTTCTCCTTAATTTAACCCAGAGTGATAAATTTTAAGGCAAAGGTCAACATACTAGATGTCACCTATAGACGACGCTCGTAGCAAAAGGGTTAATGACCCATTAATTCTTAGCAAATTCCATACAACTAAGTATGTTTGCAAGCAAAATGTTTATCAACTGAACTTTTGTGAAAAGACATATAATCACAAGCTGTACATGAAAACTGAGGTCGTTTTCCACATTCAAATTTTAGATGCCGATGTCTTGATTGCCGAAATAAGTAGACCTTGTTGCAATTTGGGCAAGGGTAGGTCCTTCTCATTCCTGGTGGCTGCATGGCTTCATCCATACCAGAAGAGTAGCTTAAATCTCTTGATTCTAACAAACGACGTAATAGGACGTTGTATTGGATTGAACCTTCTAGATCTATAAAATAAATAAATTGAATTAGTTAAAATAAAATATATTCTATATTGGTCATTTTAGTCCAATGGAAATACTACAAGTAGCAGAAACCAACCTGAAACCAAATTTAAAATAATAAGGTGAAAATTGTTTTAAAAGCATTAGGAATAAATTTAGATGATAACAAATAATCCGTTTAGTCACCATCAACTTGCCAAAAATGACATGGAATTTAAAAAAAAATTATTTTCACAGTATACAAGTAACAAAACGGTTTCTTTGTTCACAATATAAATACCATTATTAATTTTACATTTTATAAGTCAAAGCAAAAACAATACAAAGTCATATTTTAGCAAAAATTATTACATTAGTAAAAATTAAATCTGTCACCATGTTTGTAAGTTACCGCAAACCAAGTAGCAAAATTTCAATAATCAAAATTATAAAAAAATAAAGTTGAATTAGACAAATACATTTAAAATACATATTTTTATTATCTATTACTAAAACATTTAGTAAACATCACAATGGAATATATTATTAATAAATAGGTTTTTGAAATAAATATTGCTTAAATAAGAATGTCGATATAGAATAAAATAAATAATTTTATAAATAAAATTTTGACTAAAAATATTTTGGCTTTATATGGTTTTTAATTACTATGTGAATAATTATCTTAATTATTCAAATAGTTCTCGTATATATTTCTGGTCATCTGTAATTTGTGTGATTTGAGCTTATGTTTATAAAGACTTTGTCTATGTTTATAAAATTTACAACACATGGAACATTGATATGATTTATTTCCAAAGCTGTCTCTATTAAATTGCCTTTTTGGATAGTACTGCACAGGGAAACCATTGAAATCTGCAACAAGAATATAAATTATTAATATAATAAATAATCAGAAATTAATTGAACATTTCGTCCAAAAAAGGAACAGCAGTGACAGTATATATTATAAAATTTTTGCCCACTTTTGGCATGATGGTACTAGTTCATTGCTAACTCTTAATTTACTATTATTTCTCAGCTTACTTTACTTCTTATTTTATTAAATGTTTAATTTTCAATTTAATGTCATTGTTCACAATATGATAAGTGATCATAGCATGGTACATAAAACATTAAAAAAATTAATATATATTTTTATTTCGCCAACTTTACATGTGAAATTACCAAAGACATGATAAGCACATAAAGGAGCTACTGAAGTAAAATCTAAGACCAATTTTCTATACAATTCTGTCCTGTTTACTATTGCACATTTCTTCATAAGTACATATTTTTTCTTCATAAGTACACATTTTTATCTATAAAACAAATACTTTAAAATAATATATAAATAATTTATGCTATCATAATATTACATTTTATCTTAAGTTCGAATAAAGAATGTCTAACTACAATAAATTGAAAATATATATTTAAATATAGCACAAGACATAGTACTTAATCTACTTATAAATAAAGTATACTGATTTGTTGATTATAAACATAGGTTGAAATTATATTTGAATTATTATATAATTTTGAATAAACCTATGGTATCACAAAAATATTGAATAAAACCAGTTGACTGAACTGACATGAAAGAGGAAGGGTATTGACTATGGATTCAAATATTTGATACCTACTCTATATTTTCAAACATTCTTCCAATATTTAAAATTTATTTTCATAATTACTTCAACTACATGAATTTTGACTAAAATTTATATATTTAAATTAATAAAATAAGCAATGTATTCACCATTAGTAATAGTACATACTTTTTCTTTCCTATTCACTCGTTCTAATTATATCTAATCATAAACAACGATAATAATCAGAGATATAATTCCGTAGCATGTTCTAAATATTGAACAAATCATTCAAAACAAATACTTGTCCAAAACCTCCATCACTTACTACCAAAGTTATATGAACACCAAACATTTTTTGTATTTCATCTGTCGTAGATTGTCTAAGTCAATACTTGTCCCCTTCAAAAAGTCTTTCCTAAATAAAATGATTCCAAGTTTCATTTGAACTTTTCTGCAACTCCATATCTCGCATCTGGTTCAAATCCATAGTACTTTGCTTGTCCACCACTGACTGAGTCGTAGATTGTGTTTGGGTCTCACTGGTGCTCGGATGCAAATTGTTTCGCGAACCATCATCATTAGAAAAACTATCTTTTCTACTCTGATTAAATTCCTGCATCTGCACCATGACAGGCAACGGTTGTGCTTCCACTACACTCTGGAGCAATTCTCCTACAGCATGATGCTGCATTTGCATAGCAGCAGCTTGGACATCTAGCACGTTTTGGAGCAGTTTGCTATCGAGTTGAGGTAACTGATTGGTAAATGATTTGCTTTCAGATTTTTGTTGACAGAATCCCGAGATCTGATTTAAGAATGGTGGAATTTTCATCTCTGTTTGGCTAGAATTGCTAGAAGATAACTGCATCATGGCTATGATGTCTCGATGTCTGCCTTGGATGTGGATGCCAAGCTGTCCTTTGTGGTAAGCTCGGTGAGGGCAGTAGGGACAGGAAAATTGCGGTGTTTTCCCGCACTCGTATCGCAAATGAGAGCATAAACCTGTTTGATATTTGTAAGTTCTGGTGCAATTTGGGCATCGATAGCGACCGTTTTCATCACGAACATGTGATCGACGTGAGGGCGTGTACTGTGATGGAAAACCAGGAAGATCTAGTCTGCTCAGACGACGTCTGGCATCTGAAAAATAAAAATCATACTAATTAGAGAAAAAAATAATATTGTGCAAATTGATCGATTGATATAGTGAAAACTGTTTTGCTGACATATAATTAACTTTGTTAGTAAAGAACACTTAATTAAAAATATATGAATGAATTATTAGTTGTCCAAAGTATTTATAAAATTACGAGTTAAAATTTAAATTTATTTCTGCAAAAGAAAATAAAGTCTAATAATTGTATGACCTTCTTTATCTCAAAAACTTTCTTATGACTAATTTGATATCAGCCACAGGAGTGTAAGTATCTTCTTCAGCCAAAGGGTAAGATTATTCTTCTTCTTCAGTAGTTCGCGCCAAAAAAATTATATATAATTTTAATAATAGTTACAAATCAGCAGAAAGTGTTTAATAGATGCTTACCACATCTAATTATATAACCTGCTAAATATATGTAGTAATAAAACAATACTTGACCAAATTGTAATTTTTATTCTAATCAACTTCATATATTATGTATTGGCATAATTGGATTAATGATCAAATTTAAAAAATCATCGATGGTTGCTTTTCATTTCTCAGGGTTTTGTGCTAAATTACGTTAAATTTTTATAAGAGTTCTTTCCGGGTGAGATCATCAAATGTTCATTATTAAGTGTTTTAGTATATTATATTATTGCTGAAAGTCATCGATTTTTATGGTTGTTGTTGAAATAAACTTCGAATCGTCTCTGCAGGCATCCCGTGCATTTTTCTTAAATGCGTTTTTAAATTACTTCGCTGATTAGCTCTATATGAACATTGAGGACATTGAAAAAGAGGCTCTTTTCCGCATTCGTACCTTTAAATCAAAATCTGATTAGATTAATACATTTATCATAAACCAGATTATGTGAAAAAGTTATTCACCTCAGGTGGGCTGATAGTCCACTGGGGTACTTATACAATTTTGGACAATTTGGGCACTCAAAATATTTTTGTCTATCCATCGGAAATTTATTTATAAGAGAAGTACGGTATTGACCATTTGTAGTTGGGTATTCAAAATTGCTTGGTCCTGCTGAAAGAAAAAATAGTTTTTATCTCATTTCGTTAAAGGATTTGTTTTGAGAGTACACAGTACTCGCAAAATCAGAATGATTTACTTTATCACCTAGAAATAAATTACATAAAAAAATAAAACAATTTCACAGTTTCAATTGTAAGCTCACAATTCAGCAATACAATAAGCCAAAAAACTGTGGCATCACTATTGAAAACTTACAATTTTTCTTTAGAATATTCTGTTGCATTAAAACTTTTAAGAATTAACTAGATACAATATTATTATAGGTTGAATAAAATACGGAGGTTGGCATAAAAATATTTTATTACATTACATAATTGGCACTCATATCGCAATACCTATAGTAACAATATCTGTTGCTAATGTACAAAATAATAAAATCTGAAATTCATCAACTATAACACATAGACTACGTATAAATTTATTCATAATCTTTTATACTAAAATTAACAGATAACTTTTATGATACAAGACGGTTGCTTTATATAAAAATTAAATAAATCATGCATTCGAGTTTTTCACAATAACTGATTTGTCAACCATTCATCATTCAATAACTAATTCATGCTCAAAATAAAAATATTTAACATTTTTTAACTTTATATAACATTTTTCTTTGGCTTTTTAATTTAATTCATCTATTGGGCATACATTTTTGGAATGGAATAATTATAAAACTCTCAAACTTTCTTTGGTTCCGTAAACAATAAAAAATTATTTTAATTTTTTTTACATTTATAAGCATATTTACGATTACTATTAGCATGCCTTTTTAAGTTGCTTTCGTAATGAGTTTTGTAACCGCAGTTGCATATAAATTGTGGTTCCTTGCCACATTCCCAAATCTGGTGGTCACAAAGACGAAACAAATATTTATAACTTTTAGAACACTTCGAACAATCATATGATTTCGCATCTTCAAACGTTTTAAATGCAGATTTGATTCTGTCAATGCCATATGCTGCGACAATGTCTCCTAAAATATAAAAGAAAAGTATCATATTAAAATAAAATAATAATTTTGTATAATTAAATTAAGTAGGTAATAAGTAATAAAACTCATTTTTCAAATGGCAAAAAATATATTTATTAGTTCTATATATACATATCCAAATAACTGTATAATATATTTCTTAATATGTAGGACTGTCAGAGTGTTACTCTTTATTCTCTATTACTAAAATTTTAACCCAAGTGGTTCAGAAAACTATATACAAAGCGTGTATCCTGAAAATTTTTACTTTTCTCTTCAGCTGTACTGCAGAATTGTGAAGTGTTACATTATGTATCTATTAATTTCACATGAAATATTTACAAGAAAAAATAAATAATAATTTCAAATTATTTTATAACAGAAATATTAAACTAATATTATAATACTAGTATAACTTGCGTTGTACATATAATAATAAATGTATTATTAGATGGTTGCTCTATATATATTAGGGTGGTCCTTAATATGGATGTTTTCGAATTTCCTTGCTCCCAAGGGCTCAAATGCTTCCAAATTAATACAAAAAATTCTCTGAAAGTTTTAGCTCTTAATATTAAGAAGCTACATCCATATTAAGCGCATCCATATTAAGGACCACCCTAATATATATATATATATATATATATATATATATGTGTGTGTGTGTGTGTTTGTGTATTCTAGAAAGTTTTTCATCGTTGAAACATATTAGACATGTTTAAGCAGTCAATGGGTTTAATAAAATTATAAAAACAATATTATTATTTATTTGCATTAGTTTTAACATTATAAATATGAAACCATTCAGCTAAAATAAAATAATATAAAATATTGAATAAATATAGTTACAAAAAATAATTTATAAAAATAATGTACACTAACAAAGAAAACTAGTTAATTAGTTTTTTAAAGTTTTTTCATACCAGATCATTCAAGATATTAAATAAAATAAAATAATATAATACTATCTGATGATCTTGATGATCTGGTTGGTATACATTATTTTCATTCGTTTTTCATATTATTTATTCATACTTTTATTGAAAGATTTATGTTTTTTTGTGTTGGCTGAAGGATGACACATCCAGTACCAAGACTAAAACGAATAAATAATTATATCATAAATGTTCCATAGGGTAAAAATATTAATACACAGATGACAGGTAGACCGGTGGACAGGTAGACAAGAGGACAGGTAGACAAGAGGACAGGTAGACAGGTGAGCAGGCAGACAGCAAATGGGAAGATGGACTTATAGACATGTATACAGGTTGACAAGTTGATAGGTTGACACGCTGAAGGTAAAAATGCAGACAAGTAGACAGGTAAACGGATAGTCAGGAAGGCAGGTAGACAGGTAAACCGATGGGCGGGTAGGCAGGTGCAGAAGTTAACAAGGGGTTATGATGAGAAGATAGTGACTTCAGCAGGTAAACAAGTAAACTTGTAGATAGGAATATTGTAATCAAATCAAATATTTATTTATTAGATCGATTATTTACACATATAGGAAAGTCCATGCAACTTGCCT